TGTAGCAGACATGCAGGGAGTGTAGCAGACATGCAGGGAGTGTAGCAGACATGCAGGGAGTGTAGCAGACATGCAGGGAGTGTAGCAGACATGCAGGGAGTGTAGAAGACATGCAGGGAGTGTAGCAGACATGCAGGGAGTGTAGCAGACATGCAGGGAGTGTAGCAGACATGCAGGGGTGTAGCAGACATGCAGGGAGTGTAGCAGACATGCAGGGAGTGTAGCAGACATGCAGGGAGTGTAGCAGATATGCAGGGAGTGTAGCAGACATGCAGGGAGTGTAGCAGACATGCAGGCAGTGTAGCAGATATGCAGGGAGTGTAGCAGCATGCAGGGAGTTGTAGCAGACATGCAGGGAGTGTAGCAGACATGCAGGGAGTGTAGCAGACATGCAGGGAGTGTAGCAGACATGCAGGGAGTGTAGCAGACATGCAGGGAGTGTAGCAGACATGCAGGGAGTGTAGCAGACATGCAGGGAGTGTAGCAGACATGCAGGGAGTGTGTGTAGCGGGAGACAGCATGCAGGAGTGTAGTCAGACATGCAGGGAGTGTAGCAGACATGCAGGGAGTGTAGCAGACATGCAGGGAGTGTAGCAGGCATGCAGGGAGTGTAGAGACATGCAGGAGTGTAGCAGGCATGCGGGAGTGTAGCAGACATGCAGGGAGTGTAGCAGACATGCAGGGAGTGTAGCAGACATGCAGGAGTGTAGCAGACATGCAGGGAGTGTAGCAGACATGCAGGGAGTGTAGCAGACATGCAGGGAGTGTAGCAGACATGCAGGGAGTGTAGCAGACATGCAGGAGTGTAGCAGACATGCAGGGAGTGTGGCAGACATGCAGGAGTGTAGCAGACATGCAGAGAGTGTAGCAGACATGCAGGGAGTGTAGCAGACATGCAGGGAGTGTAGCAGACATGCAGGGAGTGTAGCAGGCATGCAGGGAGTGTAGCAGCGCATGCAGGGAGTGTAGAGACATGCAGGAGTGTAGCAGACATGCAGGGAGTGTAGCAGGCATGCAGGAGTGTAGCAGACATGCAGGGAGTGTAGCAGGCATGCAGGGAGTGTAGCAGACATGCAGGGAGTGTAGCAGGCATGCAGGAGTGTAGCAGACATGCAGGGAGTGTAGCAGGCATGCAGGGAGTGTAGCAGGCATGCAGGGAGTGTAGCAGACATGCAGTGAGTGTAGCAGACATGCAGGGAGTGTAGCAGGCATGCAGGGAGTGTAGCAGGCATGCAGGAGTGTAGCAGCATGCAGTGGAGTGTAGCAGTACATGCAGGAGTGTAGCATCATGCAGGGAGTGTAGCAGGCATGCAGGATGCAGGCATGCAGGGAGTGTAGCAACATGCAGGTAGTGTAGCAACATGCAGGGAGGTCTGTAGCAGGATGTAGCAGGCGCGAGTGTAGCAGGCATGCAGGGAGTGTAGCAGACATGCAGGGAGTGTAGCAGACATGCAGGGAGGTCGTAGTTCGTTAAGATGCAGGGAGTGTAGCAGGCATGCAGGGAGTGTAGCAGGCATGCAGGAGTGTAGCAGACATGCAGGGAGTGTGAGCAGACATGCAGGAGTGTCGTAGATATGCAGGGAGTGTAGCAGCATGCAGGGAGTGTAGCAGGCATGCAGGGAGTGTAGCAGACATGCAGGGAGTGTAGCAGACATGCAGGAGTGTAGCAGACATGCAAGAGTGTCGCTCAGATTAAGCTGCAGGAGTTGTAGATATGCAGGAGTGTAGCAGCATGCAGGAGTGTAGCAGACATGCAGGGAGTGTAGCAGACATGCAGGGAGTGTAGCAGACATGCAGGAGTGTAGCAGACTGCAGGGAGTGTAGCAGACATGCAGGGAGTGTCGTAGATATGCAGGGAGTGTAGCAGACATGCAGGGAGTGTAGTAGACATGCAGGATGTGTAGCAGACATGCAGGGAGTGTAGCAGCATGAAGGGAGTGTAGCAGAGCAGGAGTGTGAGCGAAGTAAACATGCAGGGAGTGTCGTAAGATATGCAGGGAGTGTAGCAGGCATGCAGGGAGTGTAGTAGACATGCAGGAGTGTCTAGATATGCAGGGAGTGTAGCAGGCATGCAGGGAGTGTAGCAGACATGCAGGGAGTGTAGCAGGCATGCAGGATAGCGGAACAGATTACAGTGCAGGGAGTGTCGTATAGATATGCAGGAGCGTAGCAGCATGCAGGGAGTTGTAGCAGACATGCAGGGAGTGTCAGACATGCAGAGAGTGTAGCATGCATGCAGGGAGTGTAGCAGACATGCAGGGAGTGTAGCAGCATGCAGGGAGTGTAGCAGACATGCAGGGAGTGTAGCAGCATGCAGGGAGTGTTAGACATGCAGGGGGTAGCAGCATGCAGGGAGTGTAGCAGCATGCAGGGTAGTGTAGCAGCATGCATGGAGTGTAGCAATCATGCAGGGAGTGTAGCAGACATGCAGGGAGTGTAGCAGACATGCAGGGAGTGTAGCAGACATGCAGGAGTGTAGCAGACATGCAGGGAGTGTAGCAGCATGCAGGGAGTGTAGCAGACATGCAGGGAGTGTAGCAGGCATGCAGGGAGTGTAGCAGACATGCAGGGAGTGTAGCAGACATGCAGGGAGTGTAGCAGACATGCAGGGAGTGTAGCAGACATGCAGGGAGTGTTACAGACATGCAGGGAGTGTAGCAGACATGCAGGGAGTGTAGCAGACATGCAGGGAGTGTAGCAGACATGCAGGGAGTGTAGCAGACATGCAGGGAGTGTAGCAGACATGCAGGGAGTGTAGCAGACATGCAGGGAGTGTAGCAACATGCAGGGAGTGTAGCAGACATGCAGGGAGTGTAGCAGACATGCAGGGAGTGTAGCAGACATGCAGGGAGTGTAGCAGACATGCAGGGAGTGTAGCAGACATGCAGGGAGTGTAGCAGACATGCAGTGAGTGTAGCAGGCATGCAGGGAGTGTAGCAGGCATGCGGCATGCAGGGAGTGTAGCAGACATGCAGGGAGTGTAGCAGACATGCAGGGAGTGTAGCAGACATGCAGGGAGTGTAGCAGACATGCAGGGAGTGTAGCAGACATGCAGGGAGTGTAGCAGACATGCATGGAGTGTAGCAGACATGCAGGGAGTGTAGCAGACATGCAGGGAGTGTAGCAGACATGGCAGGGAGTGTAGCAGACATGCAGGGAGTGTAGCAGACATGCAGGGAGTGTAGCAGACATGCAGGGAGTGTAGCAGACATGCAGGGAGTGTAGCAGACATGCAGGGAGTGTAGCAGACATGCAGGGAGTGTAGCTACGAGTTTTTTCTTGAATTTTATTGTGTTTCTTTCCTTGTTTATCACAGGGCTGGCACTAGAAACTTTCTTTGGACTCATGGTGGCTTATTAAGCAGTAACTAGCACTAAAAACAATGGAATAATACAAAATATATCGCATGTACATGTGGAATTGTCCTCAATGGTTTGTAAACAATGGCACACTACCTTGTACATGGGCTCAGGCCGCGTGGACACGTCTGGGACAAATGTCCTTAACTGAGTTTTTCATCGTTAGCTGAGCGTGTATTTTGATGCAAAAATGTATCGGTATCCGATTTTATCGCTATCCAATAGACACGTTAACTGAGGGTCCACTTAATGTAAGTTAATATACAAATAGCACTAAAAAAAAGAAAAACAAAAATATCCTGTGACTGGAACGATACCAATAACCGACCGAAACGTCGTCGTAAGCTTCTCTCTTTAATGTGCGGGTTATTTGTGTAATGTATTTAAGATAAAAGATAAGTTCTTTAATGCCTTAACGAGAATTATATTCTTCCACATGTTCTTTAAGCAAATTGTTAAGTGTTTTTCGTCATACTTAAGGGATTTTTAAGGGAAAATCACCAGGTAAATAACATAATTTTTTAATTGTGCTCATTATTCTTGAAAAAATATGACTAAAATGTGCTTTTAGCGTTCTTTAAGATTTAGCGATAGTTACAGTCTTCCGTGAGTTATTTACACAAGTTTTATGGTGTTTGTTGTCATTTAAAGGCATTACTTCCAGTTTACATCAAAAGCCAGGTTACGTCATGGCTCTTGGAACCAATTAATGACGAAGGGCAGGATATGACTGTACTGTGCACATTGACCACACAGACCTGTTCTCTCATGGCTATGCCAAACGTGAGGCTGCTAGAATTTATGTGTAGATCTACACAAGTGTTGCTGGCATCAATAACATAGATCTAGGTGAGAGAGAGAGATTTAACTATGTTCATTGGGGTATAACACAGACCTACTATGTCTTATGTACTACTGTTCATAAGATGAGCATTGAGTGCACAATTAAATAGATCCTCAGGTAGAATAGAATAGGCTAGTCAAGAGTATAAAAATCTAGGATGGCTAGAAGGTGTAGGGAATGTCCCAGGAGAGGCTGATGGGATTATGTAAATTAGGTTTGGAGTGTTAAAGGCATGAACATCAAGCAGGCATGTGTGAATGTGTTACACTAGAGTGGAGACGAGTGGTTTTGGGTGATTTCATACATTGCTGTAATGTAAGCAAAGTAACATTTATGAAGAAATGGAGCAAAACTAGTTAGCCACTCTTGAGTTCTTGGGGAAAAAATTGAAATGCTTATATTCTGAAGGATGGGTGAGGATGTTGTGGTTCTGATGGTCTTTTGAACTGTGATGTCCAGGAACTTCTGGAAAGCAGCTATCATACGAGTGGCTGAGAATGTGTTCCTTTTTTGTTTTTTATGGGGGTAACCCTACCTTGCTGCAAAATGCCAGTGTGGTATTTTTAGAGAACTACAGTGGTACCTCGGGATACAAATTTATTTCGTTCCAGAAGGCTGTTCTAGTGCCAATACCAAACAAATTTGTTCCCATAAGGAATAATGTAAATTAGATTACTCCGTTTCAGACCCCCAAAAATACACTTACAAAAGTACTTACATAATTGTTCGAGTTTTGAGCTGCTCGTATCCCGAGGTGCCACTGTATATTTAATTTATGAAGATGAAATATAACTTACCAAGCTGTATATTTCTGATAATCAGTGAAGTCTGTGAACTTCTCTTGACAAGCCGTTCAAAGTATACACCAGAAAATCCACTAGAGATACATGACACAAGAACTGCAAAAATTCCTAGAAGTCGGGACACCTCTGTGTTGGGATGAGCTTTATTGTGCATGTCACGTGGAATTAAATCAGCACCATCTTTGTGTCCTCCAAGAAATACTGTATCTGCTCCTTCCAACACTTCCACTTCAGGAACTGGGAGAATTTTTCTGGTGCTCTCTTCACCAGTACTTCCCTCTACCTAGAAAATAATATACAGTATACAGTAAATATTTCAACTAAGACCCACTTTGGAGAGGATACCTTAGACTAGGTTTGTGTGTCCAACTGAGAGAGGAAGTGGGGAGAGTACAAGAAAGCAGGTCAGATGAAGAGGTAAGGAAGCAGAAGACAGGTTGGATGAAGAAATTCCAGAAGACAGGTTAGATGAAGAAATTCAGAAAATGGGTTAGGAAAAGTGAGTGAAGAGTCAAGGTTAGATCAAGTCATATTCTCAGTTTTGGTCTACACATCTCCTACCCTTCCTAAAGCCTCCTTGTTCATCTGCGATCCTGCTCTCCATCTTACCCTTAATTCTTTCAATAATAACTCTACCATACATTTTACCAGGTAAACTGAATAAGTCTATTTCCCTATAATTATTACACTCTCTCTCTTTCGTCCCCTTTGTCTTTACAGAAATGAACTATGTGAACTATGCATGCTCCCTGTCAATCCCTAGGTACCTTCCCCTCTTTCATACATTTATGAAACGAAAGCACCAACTACTCCAAAACTATATCCATACCTGCCTTAACATTTGTCTTGATCCCATCAATCCCAACTACTTTACCCATTTTTATTGTACACCCACAGTCTCACGTACCTCCCCCACACTAACATCTGGCTCTTCTTCACTCCTAAAAGATGTTATACCTCTCTGGCCAATGCATGAAATCACAGCTTCCCTCTCTTCATTAACATTTAACAGTTCCTCAAAATATTCCTTCCATCTTCTGATACCTCCAACTCCCAATGTAATAACTCTCCTATTCTATTTTTAACTGTCGAATCCATTCATTTCCTAGGCTTTCTCATCTTATTAATATTCCTCCAAAACTTTTTCTTGTCAGCAAATTTCATTGGCAGCCTCTCACCCACTCTTTCATTTGCTCTCCTTTTACATTACCTCACCACTCTCTTAACATCTCTTTTTCTCTTCATATACTTCTCCCTCCTTATATCATTTCTGCTTTATAAAAACCCTCTCATATGCTAACCCTTCTTCTTTCTTACCACTCACTTTACCTCAGTATTCCACTAATCGCTCCTCTTCCATCCTGCACCCACCCTCCAATATCCACAAATTTCTGATGAACACTAATGCTGCATTCTTAAATCTACCCCTTACCTCTTCAACCTCATTGCTTATACTCTCACTAGCCCATCTTACTACCAACAGTTATTTATATCTTACCCTAACTAACTCCTCTAGTTCATAAACCTTCATCTCTCTATTACTTGCTGATACCATTCTCCTTGTACCCCACCTACATTTACCTTTCACTATAGCTACAAATAAAAAATGATTCGATATATCTGTTGCCCTTCTATAAACATGCACACCTGTAAGTCTACCCATCAACTTTTTATCTACCAACATGAATTCCAACAAACTATATTGTCATTACATCCTATGTCATATCTTGTATACTTATTTATCCTCTTTTTCTTAAAATACATAGTACCTATTACCCAACCTCTTTCTATAAAAAGTGGAGCTGAAGCATTTGTCTGACTGCTGGTAATTAATTTAGTCTTAAATACTTTAACCCCTTAACTGTCCAAATGTAGATCTATGTTGTTACCACTAGCGCTCCAAACGTACATAATTTTTTTTTTTTTATTAACGCATCGGCCGATTCCCACCAAGGCAGGGTGGCCCGAAAAAGAGAAACTTTCATCATAATTCACTCCATCACTGTCTTGCCAGAGGGGTGCTTTACACTACAGTTATAAAACTGCAACATTAACACCCCTCCTTCAGAGTGTAGACACTGTACTTCCCATCTCCAGGACTCAAGTCCGGCCTGCCAGCTTCCCTGAATCCCTTCATAAATGTTACTTTGCTCACAATCCAACAGCATGTCAAGTATTAAAAACCATTTGTCTCCATTCACTCCCATCAAATATGCCCATGCACGCTTGCTGGAAGTCCAAGCCACTCACACACAAAACCTCCTTTACCCCTTCCCTCCAACCATTCCTAGGCTGAACCCTACCCCGCCTTCCCTTCACTACAGATTTATACACTCTCAAAGTCATTCCGTTTTGTTCCATTCTCTTGACACGTCCAAACCACCTCAACAACCCCTCCTCAGCCCTCTGGATAATAGTTTTGGTAATCCCACACCTTCTCCTAATTTCCAAACTACGAATTTTCTGCATTATATTCACACCACACACTGCCCTCAGACATGACATCTCCACTGCCCCCATCCTTTTCCTCACTGCAACATTCATCACCCATGCTCACACCCATACAAGAGTGTTGGTACAACTATACTCTCCTAAGAAGCAAGATCACCACGCATCTAGAAACCCATCAGTTACACAACCCAGGGCAACATGGGTTTAGAACAGGTCGCTCCTGTCTGTCTCAACTATTGGACCACTACGACAAGGTCCTAAATGCACTAGAAGACAAAAAGAATGCAGATGTAATATATACAGACTTTGCAAAAGCCTTCGACAAGTGTGACCATGGCGTAATAGCGCACAAAATGCGTGCTAAAGGAATAACAGGAAAAGTCGGTCGATGGATCTATAATTTCCTCACTAACAGAACACAGAGAGTAGTCGTCAACAGAGTAAAGTCCGAGGCAGCTACGGTGAAAAGCTCTGTTCCACAAGGCACAGTACTCGCTCCCATCTTGTTCCTCATCCTTATATCCGACATAGACAAGGATGTCAGCCACAGCACCGTGTCTTCCTTTGCAGATGACACCCGAATCTGCATGACAGTGTCTTCCATTGCAGACACTGCAAAGCTCCAGGCAGACATCAACCAAATCTTTCAGTGGGCAGCAGAAAACAATATGAAGTTCAACGATGAGAAATTTCAATTACTCAGTATATGGTAAACATGAGGAAATTAAAATCTTCATCAGAGTACAAAACAAATTCTGGCCACAAAATAGAGCGAAACACCAACGTCAAAAGACCTGGAGTGATCATGTCGGAGGATCTCACCTTCAAGGACCATAAACATTGTATCAATCGCATCTGCTAGAAAAATGACAGGATGGATAATGAGAACCTTCAAAACTAGGGAGGCCAAGCCCATGATGACACTCTTCAGGTCACTTGTTCTATCTAGGCTGGAATATTGCTGCACACTAACAGCACCTTTCAAGGCAGGTGAAATTGCCGACCTAGAAAATGTACAGAGAACTTTCACGGCGCGCATAACGGAGATAAAACACCTCAATTATTGGGAGCGCTTGGGGTTCCTAAACCTGTATTCCCTGGAACGCAGGAGGGAGAGATACATGATTATATACACCTGGAAAATCCTAGAGGGACTAGTACCGAACTTGCACACGAAAATCACCCACTACGAAAGCAAAAGACTTGGCAGACGATGCACCATCCCCCCAATGAAAAGCAGGGGTGTCACTAGCACGTTAAGAGACCATACAATAAGTGTCAGGGGCCCGAGACTGTTCAACTGCCTCCCAGCACACATAAGGGGGATTACCAACAGACCCCTGGCAGTCTTCAAGCTGGCACTGGACAAGCACCTAAAGTCAGTTCCGGATCAGCCGGGCTGTGGCTCGTATGTTGGTTTGCGTGCAGCCAGCAGCAACAGCCTGGTTGATCAGGCTCTGATCCACCAGGAGGCCTGGTCTCAGACCGGGCCGCGGGGGCGTTGACCCCCGGAACTCTCTCCAGGTAAACTCCAGGTATATTCCCCTCTTTGCTTCCACGGACAAAGTTCTTTGTCTCCACAGACTCCTAAGTGCACCACTCACCCTTTTCCCCTTATCAGTTCTATGATTTACCTCATCCTTCACAGACCCATCTGCTGACACGTCCACTCCTAAATATATGAATACATTCACCTCCTCCATACTCTCTCCCTCCAATCTGATATCCAATCTTTTGTCACCTAATCTTTTTATCCTCATAACTTTACTCTTTCCTACATTCACTTTTAATTTTCTTCTTTTACATACCCTACTAAATTCATCCACCAACGTTTGCAACTTCTCTTCAGAATCTCCTAAAAGCACAGTGTCATCAGCAAAGAGCAACTGTGACAACTCCCACTTTGTGTTTGATTCTTTATCTTTTAACTCCACACCTCTTGCCAAGACCCTAGCATTCACTTCTCTAAGAACCCCATCTATAAATATATTGAACAACCACGGTGACATCACACATCCTTGTCTAAGGCCTACTTTTATTGGGAAATAATCTCCCTCTCTCCTACATATGTACTCTAACCTGAGTCTCACTATCCTCATAAAAACTTTTCACTGCTTTCAGTAACCTACCTCCTATACCATACACCTGCAATATCTGCCACATTGCCCCCCTATCCACTCTGTCATATGCCTTTTCCAAATCCATAAATGCCACAAAAACCTCTTTACCCTTATCTACATACTGTTCACCTATATGTTTCACTGTAAACATCTGGTCTACACACCCCCTACCTTTCCCAAGCCTCCTTGTTCATCTGCTATCCAACTCTTCATCTTACTCTTAATTCTTTCAATAATAACTCTACCATACACTTTACCAGTTATACTCAACAGACTTTTTTTTTTTCGTTTTTTCAACAAACCGACCACATCCCACCAAGGCAGGGTGGCCCAAAAAGAAAAACGAAAGTTTCTCTTTGTAAATTAAGAAATTTTATGCAGGAAAAGGGGGTTACATTGAGGGAAAAGTGGGTTTTTAAGGGGGTTTTACGGTTTTCGTCCCCGGGAACCTTAGAGGTTACGTCGCACACCCCCCCCCACTAGGGGGCGGGGCGAAAGTCAGTTCCGGGTCTGATTTGTTTCATTTCTACCCTGGTAGTATCGCCATGCTGCCCTTCCCCCCTCACCCCACAGCTGCGCCCCCCCACCCCCACGATATCACAATGTCACAAGTAGCCCGGGGGTTCCCCACGAATCTTCACGGAAAACCCAAAGCGTCTTCACGAGGCATCTGCCGGGTGTGTACGGGGAATGTGCCTCAATCCCACATCGG